ATCTGTGGTGCAGGCACCTGTATTGGAGTTGAAACCTCTACCAGAGCACTTGAAATATGCGTATCTAGGCGACAACGAGACACTCCCGGTTATTATCTCAACTGCACTCTCAAAAACTCAAGAGGAGAAATTGATCCGAGTCCTTTGAGAGTATAAAGAGGCGATAGGGTGGACCATCACAGACATCAAAGGGATCAGTCCCGCCATCTGTATGCACCGGATTAGGTTGGAAGAGGATGTCAAACCCGTACGGCAGGATCAAAGGAGGCTCAATCCCCTTATGATAGAAGTGGTTAAGAAAGAAATTTTAAAATTGCTAGATGTGGGGATTATTTTTGCAATATCAGATAACCCTTGGGTGAGCCCGGTCCAGGTAGTCCCAAAGAAGGCAGGAGTGACGATAAAGGCCAACTAAACGGGTGAACTCGTGCCAGTACGCAAACCTACTGGATGGAGGCAGTGTATTGACTGCCGCAGGCTAAACGCCGTCACCAAAAAGGACCATTTCCCTCTCCCTTTCATTGACCAAATGGTTGAACGTTTAGCTTGTAGGGCTTACTATTGCTTTTTGGATGGATTTTCAGGATATTTTCATATAGTAATTGCACCAGAGGATCAAGAGAAGACAACTTTCACGTGCCCGTTCGGGACCTTTGCCTATAGACGAATGCCATTTGGGTTGTGCAATGCACCTGCAACATTCCAGAAGTGTATGGTAAGTATTTTTTCTGAATATGTGGAGAAAATTATTGAAGTTTTCATGGACGATTTCAGTGTGTATGGTGATAGTTTTGATACGTGTCTAGATAACCTGAAATTGATCCTGATAAGGTGTATAGAGACTAATCTTGTGTTTAATTGAAAAAAATATCATTTTATGGTTGAGTACGGGATAGTCCTGGGTCATATTGTATCGTCTAAGGGCATCGAGATTGACAAGGCTAAAATAGACATTGTCAACAGGTATCTTGGAAGGAAAACATCTAGTCACAATATTATGAGTGACCAACTAGTATTTATAGGAATACAACCCTAACAACTATTTACAAAAATACCCTTACTAATTTATTATCTACAATAATACTTATATTCCCTTAACACTCCCCCTCAAGTTGGAGCATATATATCATAAGCACCCAACTTGTTACAAAGGTATTTCACCCTAGAGCCCCCTAAGCTCTTGGTAAACACATCAGCCAATTGATCTACAGACGGTACATGAGATGTCTTGATGACCCCGTCAAGCAATTTCTCTCGAATAAAATGACAATCAACTTCAATATGTTTTGTCCTTTCATGAAACACTGGATTAGACGCAATATGAACAGCCGCCTGATTATCACACACTAAATTCATAGGCTGTTTATGCTCAAACCCAAGTTCAAGTAACATGCTCTTCAACCAAACCAACTCACACACAGTGTGAGGCATAGCGCGGTATTTAGATTCTGCACTTGATCTGGATACAACTGTTTGCTTCTTACTCTTCCACGACACTAAATTACCACCAACGAACACACAATATCCTGTAGTCGATCTTCGATCTGAGGCAGAACCAGCCCAATCTGCATCACTATATCCTTCAATATCAGCGTGTCCATGATTTTGATACAGCAACCCTTTTCCAGGAGCACTCTTAAGATACCTGAGAATCCGTATAACAGCATCCCAATGACTAGTACGAGGGGTATCAAGAAATTGACTCACAACACTCACTGAAAACGAAATGTCAGGTCTCGTTACAGTGAGATAATTTAATTTACCCACAAGTCTTCGATATTGCTTAGGATCATCAAGTAATGCACCTTGATCTCCTGCTAATTTCACATTGGGATCCATAGGAGTATCCACAGGTCGGCAACCTAACATCCCAACTTCACCCAACATATCGAGTACATATTTCCTTTGACATAAATAAATCCCATATTTAGACCGAGCTACCTCAATACCCAGAAAATACTGTAGATGACCTAAATCCTTTGTCTGAAAGTTTGCCTGCAGATTGGATTTAAGCTTCTGGATCCCCACAACATCATCACCTGTAATCACAATGTCATCCACATAAACAACTAATAAAATTTTACCAGCATTAGAATGCCGATAAAATACAGAATGATCTACTCCACATCTTGTCAGACCGAACTCCATGACAACACTACTAAACCGGCCAAACCAAGCTCTCGGAGACTGTTTCAATCCATATAAGGATTTTTTCAAATGACAAACCAACCGCGGATTCTCCCCCTGAACAACAAATCCAGGAGGTTGTTCCATATATACCTCTTCTTCCAAATCTCCATGCAGAAATGCATTTTTCACATCCAACTGATGCAATGGCCAATTATAAGTGGCTGCCAAAGAGATAAGAAGACGAACAGAGGTAATCTTTGCAACAGGAGAAAATGTTTCTAAGTAGTCCACTCCATACACCTGAGTAAATCCTCTAGCTACCAAACGAGCCTTTAATCTATCAATAGAACCATTAGGCTGCACTTTTATAGTGTACACCCATTTACAACCAACAACAGGCTTACCTGAAGGACGAGGGACAAGATCCCAAGTACCATTTTGTTCCAAAGCAGACATCTCTTCTTGCATGGCTAATCTCCAACCAGGATGATTAAGAGTATAGGTAATAGACTTAGGAATGGAAATAGAATCAAGGGAAGCAACAAAAGAAGAATATGACATAGAGAGATGAGAATAAGAAACAAAATTAGAAATAGGATGGGAAGTACAATGTCTCTTACCTTTGCGTAAAGCAATAGGAAGATCTAACTCAGAGGAGGGCGTCATACCTGGATTTGAAGAGTGAGAGTTAATTGGTGAAGTGCGTGGCATATTAGGAACTTTCTCAACCATGGAACGACGAGAGTAAACTTGAAGATGAGGACGAGATAATCGAGCTATGGAATCTGGTGGACTAGATAACTCAGGTAATAAAGGGGAAGGGACTGGTAAAACAGGAGAGGAAAAAGAGTGACACTGGTCTAACTCACAAGACATACTTTGTTTGATAAAATATGGAGTGGATTCAAAGAAAGTAACATCAGCACAAGTAAAAAATCGATTTAAAACTGGACTGTAACATCTATACCCTTTTTGCGCTCGTGCGTATCCTAAGAAAATACACTTAATAGCACGAGAATCTAATTTATCCACCCCGGGAGCAAGCTGATGAACAAAGCACACACATCCAAAAATACGAGGAGGCAATTTAAATACAGGTTCATGAGGAAAAAGAATGGAGTGAGGTAATTGACCTCCAAGAATATTAGATGGCATGCGATTAATTAAATAACATGCAGTTAGAACTGCATCACTCCAAAATTGTTTGGGCACATTCGTGTGCAACAACAATGTTCGAGCAATTTCGATTAAATGTCCAATTTTTCTTTCAGCAACTCCATTCTATTGTGGAGTGTGAGGACAAGAGGACTGATGAATAATACCAGACTTAGTCATAAAGGTATTAAAAGGAGTGAAAAAATATTCTTTCGCATTATCACTGCGAAGTATACGTACAGGCACACCAAATTGATTCTTTATTTCTGTAACAAATGCACAAAAAATGGAATATAATTCTGAACGATCTTTCATTAAATAAAGCCATGTAACTCTGGAAAAATCATCAACAAAAACTACAAAATATTTAAAACCTAACTTTGAAGTGACTCGACTAGGACCCCAAACATCAGAATGAACTAACAAAAATGGTTCAGAAACCCGTTTATTGACTCTAGGAGCAAAAGAAACACGATGATGCTTTCCTAGCTGACAAGACTCACATTCTAACGAAGATAATTGACTCAAAGTAGGAACCAACTTTTTCAAATTTTGTAAAGACGGATGACCTAAACGACAGTGAATTTCAAGAGGAGAAACAGTAGCAGGACATGCTATCGGACCATTGAAGTGGAGAAAGTAAAGACCATTATGCTCATGCCCTCCACCAATCGTCCTCTTTGTCTTCAAAACCTGAATGACAACAGAATCAGGAGAAAAAGTAACTGTGCACTGTAGAAATTTAGTGAGCTTACTAACAGACATTAAATTAAAGGGCAAATTGGGTACGTAAAGAACAGAAGACAGCGGAAGTGATGGATTAATTTCTACAGTGCCTAGGCCTTTAACTTTAGTGGTAGATCCATCAGCTAAAGTAACATGAGGAAAGGAAGTAGACTCTTGAAAATTAGAAAAAATTTTAGAGGTACCTGACATATGATCAGTAGCTCCGGAATCAATAATCCATGAGTCATTACCTTTTTGTGCTAAAGAAGCAGAGGGAAGAGATGCGTGATTTGTAGCTTGGTACTGTAGGAATTTAACATAATCTTCCTCAGATATAGTAACAGTTTTCTGGGACCCATGTGCTGAAAAACTTGATTCAACTTGGTCAGTGATAGCCGTATTAACAAACCTTTCAACCATAGCGAATAGCACGTCAAACGAAAGAACGGGTCAAAACTTGAGCCGTGAACAGTAACGCGTGAACAGTAACGCGTGAACAGTACGCGTGTACAGTGCCGCGATGAACAGTGCGGCGTGAACAGTGATTTTGCTAGATGTTTAACCCTAACCCTAGGACTTTTGCTCTGATACCATGTCAACAGGTATCTTGGAAGGAAAACATCTAGTCACAATATTATGAGTGACCAACTAGTATTTATAGGAATACAACCCTAACAACTATTTACAAAAATACCCTTACTAATTTATTATCTACAATAATACTTATATTCCCTTAACAGACATTATATCTGCATTACCTTACCCCGCGAATGTGCGGGAGGTGCGTTCTTTTCTTGGACATGCAGGTTTTTATCGAAGGTTCATCAAGAATTTTTCAAAAATTGGGGGCCCCGTTGTTTCAACTCTTACAAAAGGATGTGACCTTTGAGTTCGATGACAAGTGTGAGAAAGCTTTCAACAAGTTAAAAGAGCTACTGACCTCACCCCCGATCATCTAACCCCCCGATTGGAGTTTGCCATTTGAGATCATGTGCGATACCAGTAATCATGCTGTAGGGGCTGTATTGGGGCAAAGAGTAGGAAAGGCAACTCACGTCATTTACTACGCATTTCGAGCTTTGAATGGGACCCAATTGAATTACTCCACCACCGAGAAGGAGTTTCTTGCAGTTATTTTTGCTTTAGAAAAATTCAGGTCATATCTGTTAGATACTAAAGTAATTGTATTTTCTGATCATGTAGCATTAAGGTACCTAATGACCAAGAAAGATGCAAAATCGAGGCTCATCCGGTGGATATTGCTACTACAAGAATTCGACTTAAAAATAATGAATAAAAAAGGCTCAGAGAATCTAGTAGCTGACCATTTGAGTCGCATACCAGTTGGGGGGGACAACAAGCCATTGAAGGATGCATTCCCTGAAGAGCATCTATTTTCGTTAAACCCTCAATTGCCTTGGTATGCAGATTTAGTCAATTATCTAGTAACTGGTAAATTTTCTGTAGGTTGGCCAAAATCGAAGAGGGATAAATTGGAGAGCGACGCCAAGTATTTCATCTGGGATGACCCGTACTTATGGAAGAAATGTGCAGATCAAGTAATGAGGAGATGTGTAAGTGAAGTGGAATTTCAATCTATTTTAGCATTTTGTCATACTTTTGCCTGTGGAGGTCATTTTGGACCCAAGAGAACTGCTCATAAGGTTTTGGAAAGTGGATTTTATTGGCTTTCATTGTTTAAGAATGTTTATGTGTTTTGTAAGTCATGTGATTGCTGTCAAAGGGTAGGTAATATAGCCCGTAGAGATCATATGTCCCAAGTCCCGTTGATTTTTGTTAAAATTTTTTATGTTTGGGGTATGGATTTCATGGGACTTTTCCTACTTCATTTGGTTTTATATATATTTTGCTGGCAGTTGATTATGTGTCTAAATGGATGGAGGCTAAGGCCATTCGGACTAATGATTCGAAAGTAGTTGCACCTTTTATCAGGTCTAATATTTTTGTACGATTTGGAATGCCAAGAGCTATTGTCAGTGATAGGGGAACGTGCTTCTGCAACAAAACCATAGTTGCGTTGTTTCGCAGGTATGGTGTACTCCACAGGGTCTCAACGTCGTACCACCCTCAGACCAATGGTCAAGCGGAGGTATCGAACCGGAAAATCAAATCCATCTTGGAGAAAATGGTACGCCCCGATAGAAAAGATTGGAGTCAACGATTGGAAGATGCACTCTGGGCCTATCGGACGGCGTACAAGACTCCTATAGGAATGTCACCGTACATGTTGGTTTTCGGGAAGCCGTGTCACCTTCCAGTGGAGTTCGAGCACAAGGCTTTTTGGACAATAAAACAATGCAACATGAATCTAAAAGAGGCCGGTGCCCAACGAAAGTTGAATTTGCAAGAGTTGGAGGAGATCCGAAACGAAGCATATGAAAACGCTTTAATTTATAAGGAGAGAAGTCGGGCATTTCATGACCAACAAATCTTTAGAAAAACCTTTGAAATTGGTCAGAAGGTTCTCCTGTACCAATCCAGGCTCAAGCTATTTCCAGGTAAGCTACGTTCCCATTGGATTGGACCTTTTATTGTTACTCACGTGTTTCCACATGGTGCAGTTGAAATCCGGAGTGCTAAGACAGACAACAAGTTTGTGGTGAATGGACACCGTTTCAAACATTATTACGAAAGTTTTTCAAGTGGAGAAGTGGAGACAATAAATCTAAACGCACCACCGTGTCCTAATCAGTGACACTTTACCATGTCTAGTCAAAGACATTAAAGAAAGGCGCTTATTGGGAGGCAATCCAATCTCTTTTAATTGTTTGTTTGATTTCGTGTGATAGTTTAAATAGATTTTTCTTGAATTGGACTGATTTTAGGTTTCAATTTTTGTTTTTGCTGATTTGTAGGTGTTCGTCTGTCATGACGCGCCCGCGTGATGACGTATGGAGCGCTCACGTTCAGAATCGCCAAAAGGGGTTCTTGCCCTCATGACGCACCCGCGTCATGATGCAAGGTGAGCTCACGATCAGAATCGTAAGAAGGGGTTTCGGTCCTCATGACGTGCCCGCATCACGTTCGCGGGAAAGGTAAGGGATTAAAAAAAAAAGGGGGTGGTTATTAATTTTCTGCTATTTTCTTATTTTTCATTTGGAAAATAAATTTTGTAATAAAAATATCTGAAAAAAGAATAAAATAAAAATAAATAAATATATATATATAAACAAATAAATAAATAAATTTTTTACCTAAAAAAAATTAAAGAGAGTTTTTCTTTCCTTTTCACGGTGGCTTAGTTATCTTAAAAAAAAAATTTCCCTTTTTTCTTTTTCTCTTCTCTCTTTTCTTTTTTTCTTCTTCTTCTTTCTTCCTCCCCTGCTCCCTCTCTATTGGCCGAATCCCTTTGCCCGCCGCCCACTCGCGCCGCAACCCACATCACGCACGCCACCTCCACCAGCTGCGCTGCTCCTCCCCTCGATCCGCCGCGTCCTCCACCTCGCCGACCCCCGAAGCAGCAGCCCACCGCCACAGCTCTTCCTTCCTCTCTTCCGCGCGCGCCCAGCCTGCCACGAACGCTACCCGGTCGTCATCCGCTGTACTCGCCGCCATCTTGCGCACAGCTCGCGGCAGCCCACGCTCGCGCAGCTTCCACCAGCTTTCCCTCCCTCCTTTGCCTTGCGGTGTCCAGCGCCTCGTGCCGCAACCAACGCCGAACGATGCCCGCCAGCTGGCCTGCCGCAGATCCACCACGCTAGCCTCCAACCGCGCGCCGCCCTTTTGCTCGTTCCACCTCAGCGAGCTTCAACCATAGCTCGCGCGCCGCTCTAGACCGCTGCTTGGTTCACCACCTGACGCGCGCTACTGATTCTCTATCGGGGGTATCGCTTGGCTACTTTCTTTGGTGGAGGTATTTGGAATTTGTCCCCCAATTTCTTAATATTCATTACTAGTTTGTCATGCTCTTGAGAATGCTTGTTGAGTTTTTGGGTGAGCTGGAGTTGTGAAATTGTCTTTTGATAATTGGGGCGGCAACTCTGCTTGTGTTTTGATTGTTGAGATTCTCAATTGTTGGCAGTGTTAGTTGTTATTTTGGTTTATGGGTGACCGGATATTGGTAGTGTGTGTGATTTCTCTTCCATAGTTTACTACACCAGTGGTACTGGTGAGGTAATTGGACCACAATTGAATACTTCTATTTGGTTGGCCAAGTGATTATTGTCCAATCCATGAGCTGTTATCATTGAAATTGATAATTTTGAGTTGTGACTTTTATTGGCCAACTGGAGCCTAACGTTGCTTGTTGAATTGACTTGCTGAGGTCTATTTCGCTTGCATTGCTGGAGGAGTTGTTGAGGTTTTTGTGGGGGTTTTTGCTTCAGTTACTTTTGATATTGCATATTGGGTTGACCTCCTGTGTCGTTTGACTTACTTTGTAAGGTTGGTCTTGCCTAATTGCATTATGAGATTATTGTTTTGTTCTTGCTGAGTTTCTTTGGCTAGTTGCATTTGTTGGTTACTATACCTGTTGGAGCTTCTGTGCTTTGAGCTGACTGTTGAGGGACATGGTGAGACCAAAATCATCCTCTAGGTCTGGGGCCTCTCAGTCTCAACCCCCTCCACAAGCCTCCATTCCTGTGAATACACCTACCAACCTTTCCTCCTCTTCTAGTGTCCGAATCTGCTTAGGTAGGGGTAGGGGTAGGGGTGCTCAAGTAGATGTCCCAACTCACTTTAGGGGGCACTTGACTTTCACTAGACCCGTCGATCAGCAGCGATACGCTAAAGTCTGTGAGAGGCGTATCATATCCTGTAAATCTTGTGATAGGCTCTTTCTGACTGCCCTTGGTATACTGGAGGAGGTTGATCAGATGTTCACCGCCATTGGATGGCGCCCGTATTTTGATATTTCTTGCCTGGCCTTTACTGAGCTGATTCGGGAGTTTTACTCCACCTTTGAGTTCGAATTGCCTACGAGGTACACCGTGGAAACACCGAACGTCATTCATTTCCGTCTAATGGGTCGGGAGTTCAACTTTTCCATTACCCAGTTCAATCTGGCGTTTGGATTTATTACTAGAGAGTATGCTGAGACTCGAGAGTATGCGGAGAGTGCCTATGATTTCATAGACCCGTTCCTCTCCCAATACCATGATGTGTGGGAGGACATGTCCGTCGATCGGCACCGCTACGACCTTTCTAGGTCTAGGAGCTCCTTTCTTAAGGATCCTAGTGCTCGATATGTTCAGCGATTTTTAGCCTACAGCTACTCGGGGCGCAAGGACAGCTCCGGTATACTCTTTCGCCCTGAGTTTTTCTTCCTCTGGAGTATGAAGAACAACATCAAGGTCAACTTGGGGTGTTGGTTGGTAGCACAGTTCAAGACGGTTTTGACCAAAAAGAATAAACCTTTGATCCTTGGGTCCTACATCACCCACTTGGCGACCCAGTTGAGCGTTCTTGATCTGGACGACCACGACCTACATTTGGCATTCGAGATGGAGAGCCTGGACGTGGACTGCTTAGAGAAGATGGGAGTCGTCGAGCGCCTACCCAATGGTTTCTCCCAGTTTACCCCTCCGGGACCACCTCGAGCTCCGGGTGTGCACCCTTCGACTCGAACGGGGCCCTCTTCATTCCCTGGGTCGGCCGAGGACACTGCTGGACCGTCTACCTCCGCTTCTACGCCACCTCCACCACCTGGGGCTACTGAATGGCAGCAACTCTGGGAGCAGGTTCAGACTTTGGAGGCGCGGATGGTCAACGTTGACGCCAATGTCGCCGGCATGGCACAGAATTTGGCACAGTTTCTACTTCATACAGGCTTTGCACCTCCGTTTCCACCCCGCCCTCCACTATGACTCGGTTTCAGGGAAGTTTGGTTACTTTCTCTTTCACTTTTGCTTTTTATTTGACACATTGAGGACAATGTGTCCTATAGGTGTGGGGGGGTCTAATGGGGTGCTAGTGTTTAGTGTTTTTAGTTTTTAGTAGTTTTTAGCTTTATTTCTAGTTACTTATTTTTTTTCTTCCTTCTTGGTGTAGTTGCTTATTTTCTTTCTTTCTTCTTGGTGAATGAAAAAAAAAAACAAAAATGGATGTGGGCTTATTGACTCTAATTCTACTTTTGCCAAGTTTTTAAAATAAAATGTATTGGGTTAATGTGGTTGAATCCAAAATATCTCCTTGGTGAATATCGGACTGCTTGACTTTTTTGGTTTCTTTGTTAACTTTTCTAGGCATAGGGAATGACTGTTGGCGTTTTAATGTGAATTGGTCCAATATTAACTCTAACTCTCTATGTTTGGCAATAATGAGGCGAGCTGCACCTATTTTTGATTTTTAGTGTTGTTATTTGGCGTTTTTGCGTCGTTTGGCTGTGAATAAACTTGACTGTAATCCGCTATTAGTCACTACTGAGTAACCGGAGATCTGCACCTAAATGTGTCGATTCTCGTGTCAAAAGGTAGTCCCTTCTATGAGTACGTGGTCGTATAGCGGTAGGAGTTGAGTAACCGGATTCCTTCATCTAAAAATGTTGGGGTTCGCGTCAAAATGGCTCCGGCGGCTAGAGACTAAGTTTTTTTGTGTTAATTATTATTATAAAAAAAAAGAAAAGAAAAGAAAAAAAATAATAAAGAAAAAAAAGAGAAAAAAAATATAGTGCATATTGTGTTAGTATGTTAGAGGTCAGCTTGCCGATTTATGAATTTAATATGGAGATTTTGGTTAATATTTGGATTGATTGCTGATAAATGTTATATGCCATTCATTTTCCTTAGATTAGTTAATTTGGAAATCGAAGGGGTTCGTAGTTTAGAGGCTAACCGAGGTGATGTTTCTCGGATGTTGATCACTAATGCTTGATATATGATTTCCCTTAGTATATTGGCAATATAGTAGACGGGGCAATAACCATTATCCAATTTTTGTGCTTGTTTACTATTCTTATACTTGAGGACAAGCATGGTTTAGGTGTGGGGGAATTAATAGGATGCAATTTTATTATTTATTTTATTATTAATTTCCCCTATTACCTGACTCGATGTGGATTAATTACTGGATTCTACTCACTTTTAGTATTTGACGTTTATTTCAGGGAGTAGAACAAAAATATGATAACAAGTACCAATTTGATAGAAAAAGAGAGCAAGTAGCAGCGCTTGTCTTTGGGCCCTTTCTTTTGGGCATGGGCTGAACCGAAGAAGGGTTTGTTCCTTTCTTGGCTGGAGAGCCGTGGCAGAAGGCAGGAGAGAAGCATGAGATAAAAACCAAAAAGAAGACGGCAGAGAAAAGGACGGCTGATTTTATTCTTAGTCTTTCGTCCTGTAGCTTAGACTCACTTTTTGACTTTTCTTCTTAGCCCTTTGTGGGCATTCTCACGGTTGTGAGAAAAACAATGAGGAGTACTAGCTTAGCATTTCATTAACTTCTTCCTTTAGAATTCCTTTTGCTTGTTCTCACGCATGTCAGGAGATTGGAGGCTATCCTCTTTGACTTTTCCTCCTTGTACCTTTTGAGTGGCGTTGCTCTGCGGATGTTAGGAACAATAAAGAGATTCAATTGTTACCTGTGACTTTCATTTGCTCTCTAATTGTCAACGAATTGCGGCTTCCTGAAATGCAAATAATGGCCGTGACTTTTGCTGAAATTTCCCGTGGACTTAGTTCATCATATATGAACTAATTTCCTCATTCTAGTCAAGAAACGACGGATGCTTTGGGTTGTCTAAAAATTGTGAGATCGATTTAA